TCGTGAGGCGCTGCGTTCCTACGCCACACTCCCTGACTGGAATAGCATTACCACTGACTCATGTGCCATCCCATTATTGTTAGAAACCTGGTACAAATAGGTGTTCGATCAACATCATTGTAAGGCCAGACACGGTGACTCGCTCCTGTGATCCCAACACTTTGGGAGGCCAAGCTGGATGGATCACCTGAAGTCCAGACTTCAAGACCAGCCTGGACAACACGGTGAAACCCCCAGTCTCTACTAAAAATACGAAAATCAGCCCGGCGTGGTGGCACGTGCTTGTAATCCCAGCTACCTGGGAGGCTGAGGCAGGAGAATCGCTTGAACCCAGGAGGCAGAGGTTGCGGTGAGCCAAGATCATGCCACTGCACTCCAGCCTGGGTGACAGAGTGAGACTCTGTCTCAAAAAAAAAAATTAAAATTAAATAAATATCATCATAGTAAGTCTCCAACTTAGCACACAGAGCACACAACGAAAATCTAGGGGCCACAGTTTATATGTTTTTAACATCCGTGGTTCAGGAATGGAACGAGAAACTTCTTCCTGTTTGGTGCCCTAAAAGAGAGATCCTAAAAAACCAAGATGCTTTAGTGTGGGGAGTTTCCTTATCCCTTGTGGAATCTTCCTGATAGCTGACCCCAGTGCTCAGAGACATAATAAATTCTGCATTTGTACAGGAAATGTGAACAAAAACAAATTTACACTGACCTCAACAAAAATAACAACCCCAGTCAAGGTCTAGTGACACCAGGGTATCTTTAAAAAACTGCCTGCTACCCAGTCACTAACCCTCAGGAATCCAAGGCCCCAGCCGCTCAGGGCTCACAGTTTGAGGGTTACATCTACCTGGTCTCTCTAAAAGAGCAAAAAATGTTCCATAACGTCACTGTGGAACAACCGGCCTTCCCATCATTCTCATCCCTTCATCACATGATCAGGCAAGGCAGGAAGGAAGGTCAGTGAGACACTGACATTCCTGTGAGACAACCAGGAAGACCACGTTTGTGATCACACTCTAAATCAATCCTGACGCCTTCTCCGTGGTCCCAAGTCATCCCGAGGCAGTCACTGTTTTGTTTATGTCCTTTTGCTTTAATTCAGGACTCTGTGATCACATCATGCCCAGATCACGCTCTGCATTAGTAAAAATAGTGGCAGTTGTGGCGTTCGGGTGTTTTCCTTGCCCTCGAGTTTAGCTCAAGTACTGGGGCTTTCAAGTGCAGACACATGGCCACAGGGGAGCAAAGATCTGGAGGAGCCTGGGGGATCTGGGGCTGGCGGGTGGTTCTGGAAACTAACGACTCTAGGGCCCCACCATTCACGTGACGTCACCCTGTCTCCATGTCTTTTTCTTGTGATGCTTCTCACTTCTACTGCCCCGAGGCAGCTGCTGCGCTGTGATCTGCGTCACTGTCTATGCCTCCTGCCCACGGGAAGCCTCATCCTGCCCTGGTCCCTCTTGGCCCTCCTACCTCATCGCCTCTCCTGTGCGACCTCTCGGCAAAGTCAGATACCATTGCTGCCAGCCTGCCTCTGCGTATTCCAGAGAGGTGACCCGGTGGACAGCGGCAGAGCTCTCCGGGGTCGGTCCCCTGCAGGGCCAATGACAAGCGTAGCACGTGGCCCGACTGAGACACCACATGCGGGCAGGCAGCCTCAGCCTGCGCAGGTGCAGCTGTTCAGGAAACCAGGCTGAGCGCGGGCAAAGGCTGTAACAGACGCATCCAAGACAACAGCCCAGCGCGCAGGAGCCTTTCCTCTGCCTCGCTATCTGGGGTCGTTCATCAATCAGTTCATCTGGCTCTACTCGGTGGTCAACCGAGGTCCTCTGTGTTATTGAGTCCGATGGCCAATTCCCAGGCCTGGTTCTCCCCTGGCTTTTCCTTGGGCATTCCGACCAGCTGTCTCCTCTTCCTGGAGGAAGCTCGGTCCCGGACGCCACACCACACGCGCCTGCGATGCCTGATTCTCCTGGCAGCCCCTTTCTCGGTCTCCTTCACTCTTCAGCTCCTCCCTTTATCGGTCCCTAATCCAGGACTGCAGGTTCCTTGATTCCCTCATCAGCTTCACTGGTCTGATCGATTTGAATACCGTCTCCATGCTGATGACTGGAATTCACGCCTGCTCCCGGCCCCCGCTGAACTCCAGCTCCAGACTCCCCGCTGCTGACTTTCCACTCCGTGTCTAACACTCATCCGAAGCCTAAAGTGACCAAACTCCTGACATCCATTTCTAAGTTTAGTTTAATTTTTGTACATTAAAAAATTTAGGCCAGGTGTAGTCGCTCACACCTGTAATCCCAGCACTTTAGGAGGTTGAAGAAGGCGGGTTGCTTGAGCCCAAAAGTTTTGACCAGCCTGGGCAACACGGTGAAACTCCATCTCTATTTAAAAGATGGGTACATTTAATAATGTTTCTGTAGAGAAACATCTTGTTATGCTGCCCAGTCTGGTCTCCAGCTCCTGGCCTCAAGTGATCCTCCTGCCTCAGCCTCCCAAAGTGTTGGGTTTACAGGCGTCGGCCACCACACCTGGCCAATTAGCCATTTCTATCAACTCTCCCCTGATCCCTCCACTGCTCCTCTGGGCTTTTTTTGCAAATAACTTTATTCTTCAAGCTCGGACAAAACATACATATATACATGATAAAATATCTCAAGAGATATATTCTATATAGTCATCTTCAACGTTACTTTTTTCTCTCACTCTCACTTCCAGTCTTCAGAATGTGTCCAGAATCTACCCCCTGCTCACCCCTCTCCCGGCTCCCACGGTCCTCCTGGCTGCTCACCCTCTCCCGGCTCCCACGGTCCTCCTGGCTGCTCACCCTCTCCCCGGGCTCCCCGGTACCTCCTGGCGGCTCCCCTCTCCCCGGCTCCCACGGTCCCTCCTGGCTGCTCACCCTCATCCCCGGCTTCCCACCGGCCTCCTGGCTGCCTCACCCTCTGCACCCGGCTCCCACGGTCCCCTGGCTGATCCTCACCCTCTCCCCCGGCTCCACAAGGGTCCTCCTGGCTGCTCACCCGCTTCCTCCTTTGCCCTGCTGCGGTCGCATCAATCCAAGCCACGGACATCCCGTTCAGATATGATTGATCGCCAGGATCCTCACTCCAAACCCTCCATAGAGCTTCCTCTCTCACTCAATTACATCCAAGACCATATAAGACTCTCAGTCCTGCCCCGGGTGTGGTGGCTCACGCCTGTAATCCTAGCACTTTGGGAGCCGCGGTGGGTGGATCAACCTGAGGTCAGGAGTTCAAGACCAGCCTCGCCAGCATGGTGAAACCCCATCTTTGGAAAAAAAAAAAGCAACCTCTCAGCCCACGGCACCGGGCCATCGCTACATCTCTGAACCTTCTTCCTCCACTCTTGGTTCTCTTGCCCCACTTCCTCCAGTGCCCCAGACATGCCCCAGCCTTGGTGGCCTTTGTCCCTTAGAGTTGCCCACCATCTCCTGCATGTCTTGTTAAAACGTTGCCGCCCTTGAGGCCTTCTCCTGGACACCTCAGCTAAAACTGCCACCCATGTGCCCTCGAGCCCCCTTCCCTTCCCTCCTGAGGCACAGACCACTGTGTCACACACCCACATTCTTACTGATTACTGTCTGTATCACCCCATGGAACAAAGACTCCAAGAAAGCAGGCGTTGTGTCTGTTCTGTTCAGTGCTGTATCCCTCGCACCTGGAAGAGTGCCCGACGCACAGGCATTTTCCATGAATACTCCCAGAATTCGCGAACCCATGCAAATGTTCACTGCCCTGCTCACCGGTCTTTGCGGGGCAGCTGCTGTCCGCGTGTGCACGCTTTCTCACGGCTGGGAGCTAGCTGTCCTGCAGCCGGAACAGAACCTTTCCAGGGCGCAGTCTGCTAGAGAGTGCATTGCTCACTTACGTGTTGTCGACATCCTGAGAGAGATTATTTATTTATTTATAGATGGAGTTTTGTTCTTGTCTCCCAGGTCGGAGTGTAATGGTGAGATCTCGGCTCATTGCAACCTGTACCTCCTGGGTTCAAGTGATTCTCCTGTCTCAGCCTCCTGAGCAGCTGGGATTACAGGTGCCTGCCACCACACCCGGCTAATTTTTGTATTTTTAGCAGAGATGAGGTTTCACCATGTTCTCCAGGCTGGTCTTGAACTCCTGACCTCAGGTGATCGCTGGCCTTGGCCTCCTAAAGTGCTGGGATGAGCCACTATACCCAGCCGTATTTTTTTTTCTTTTTTAATTCACAAGACTTTGTCACTCTGTTCCTTCATTTGTACAGCATTAAAAGATTAAGAACATTCATTTCACCCTCTAGTCTCATTTGCAACTAAAGATGGCTCTATACGACATGGGTGCTGTGTTGCTGGAAAGGCAATAGGACAGTCTTTGTCAGACACCCTTGGTTACTCACTGTTAAAGTCGCTAAGCTTCGAGAAGTTGGCATCTCAGAAGCTGGAATCTTCATTGAGGGCCCGCAGAGGGGGGTATGAATGACTTGCTGGCACCGAATTTGTAGGTTGAATCAGGAAACTGCCAGGGTACTGTCAGTATGATTCCCGCCACATGATAATCTGATGATAATCTTTACCTGGTCATTTAAAACGATGTCAGAATGAGATTTAATGCATAATCCCTGAGGTGAAATTCAGGAGGAAAAAGCTTCCTGTAATTTAATTTAAAATGTCCATGTATCGACCAGGGACAGTGGCTCATGCCTGTAATCCCAACACTTTGGGAGGCCGAGGCAGGCAAATTATGAGGTCAGGAGTTCAAGACCAGCTTGGCTAAGATGGTGAAACTTGGTCTCTACTAAAAATACAAAAATGAGCCAGGCATGGTGGCACACACCTGTAGTCCCAGCTACTCGGGAGGCTGAGGCAGAAGAATCACTTACACCTGGGAGGCGGAGGTTGCAGTGAGCCGAGATCACGCCATTGCATGAACTGTCTGGGCAACAGAGTGAGACTCTTCTTAAAAAGAAAGAAAGAAAGAAAGAAAAAGTCCATGTCCATATACTGAAATGAACAGTGTTCAGTGTTTATTGCATGGAATGACATCTCCTCGCTTTCTCTTACATACATTTGTCATGTTACATGTTAAAGTATGGATTGTCAGGCTCTAGCTGAAAAGAGAGGGGCTGTCACAAGTCACCTGGGGTTCTGATTCCTTTCTCCATTTATTCCCATCACCCCACAGTCCACGACGTCTAGTCCATCCGGCGGGCACAGGTGCAACTCTAAAATAGGAAGAGGTTTTTATTACTTTCCAGCCCCGTTCTAATTGGAGCTAGTGACTGCAATAGCCTGTCAACCTGCTGGTGATAAAACCTTTCACACAAAACCTTTTCTGCAAAGATAAAGAAAACTAGATTCAGAGTCTCATCTCCTTGCCTCTTATAACCTTCTTTTTTTTTAAGAGCCACTGTGAACATTATTTTTAAAGCCAACACTGAAACTCCGCACTTTCACAATACAACCCAGGCCTTCAAACACACAGATACCACTGTCTTTCAATCACAGCCTCGCTCACCTCCCTCGGTCCTGGCAAATGAAGTGATTTGAAGGAGGTGAATTGAGGCCCTTCTCTATCCACCCTGCATTCTCCTCCACCTTCCAGGCTGTGCTGCCGAAGGAGACAGCTCAGGAGGGATGGCATGGGCGCCTGCTGCTGCAAAATTCCCACAAGCCAGCTGAGGCCAGTGGCACCGACCTCCACGTCAGAGGGGAAGCAGAGACACAGTCTATTTTGCTTTTCAGACATCTGGAAGCAAGACGATCTGTCCACCAGTGCAAAATCTACCCCTAAGCAGTAGTTCTAGTTGTTCCTTTTATGAGCTGTCTTTGCACACGCTCAGTGAGGCCGGCTTAAGTAGTTATCACTGATAGTTCAGACTAACCACCACACCAGCACACAGAAAACGGAAGAAGCCTTTCCGGTTCACTGCTTGATGTCAAAACAACCCAGGCACCAGCACATCTGCCAGATCCCTGGCAGCAGGCATACCCACACAAGACCAATACTCCTTATGATAGATGCACACATTCGAAATAAAATACTAGGCCGGGCGTGGTGGTTTATTCCTGTAATCCCAGCACTTTGGGAGGCCAAGGAGGATAGATCACCTGAGGTCAGGAGTTTGAGACCGGCCTGGACAACATGGTGAAACCCTGTCTCTCCTAAAAATACAAAAAAATTAGTTGGGTATGGTAGTGCATGCCTGTAATCCCAGTTATTCAGGAGGCTGAGGCAGGAGAATCCATTGAGCTTTGGAGGCAGAAGTTGCAGTGAGCTGAAATCACACCGCTGCACTCCAGCCTGGGTGACAGAGCCAGACTCCGTCTCAATAAGTAAATAAATACTACTGGCAAACATATCTTGAGCAAGAGTGAAAAATGGTGTAAATGGGTCCTGTCTTGGTCTGTTCCCACTGCTGTAACAAAATAGCTTGTACTGAGTAATTTACAAACAATGGAAATTGTTTATAAGTTGAGGCCCTGAACTCCTGGCCTCAAGTGATCCTCCTACCTCAGCCTCCCAGAGAGCTGGGATTCCAGACATGAACCACTATGCCTGGCCTGGAAGACGTTTTGGGACGGATGAGTCTTTTTATAGAAAACCCTGCCTTGTGAATCTCTCAATCCAGCCCCTCCCACTCCCACCCTTAAAAATTAAAAAGAAAAACCCCCTTGCAACACCATCGACACACTTGGCCACAATCCAGGGTGTGCTGAACTTCAGCTCCAGCAGCCTCTCCGCTCCCAGGATCACAGGGTGGTCTCTTTGGTGTGGCTCCAGGGCCGGCTGCTCTCTGGCTGCACCCTTTACACACCGCATGCAAACTCGGCCTCTGCTGGGCTGTGGACTCCATGCAATTGGCCTCAGTGGAAACCACAGTGTCCTCCAATCAGCAGGAAAGGGTGGGTATTCAGGGCCACAGTCTGCGTTTGGCCGGGCAGGGCCACGTCAGCAATAGTCTAATCCACCATGGCCATGAGCACGGGGTACCTGTGCGGGTGCCAAGCACGCTCCCACCCAGGAAGGATGTTGGTCCTCTTCTAGGTCAAGTTGATGAGGCACGGCCAGAGTGTGGGAGAACTCATGGCCTAGACTAGACCTTCTGGTCTCTGATGTCACAGAAAAGGGACATGGTGGTGCCTGAGGCAGCCCTGAGGGAGAGCACCTGCACCCTGGCTTGATGGGGAAGGGGTTCCACGCTTGGGACTCCATACTGTCATCTCCCTGCGAAGTGGGGCGTCTCTCCTCTCCATAACTGATTCTCCAGGGACCAGGTTCTCAGTGACTGGTGCATCCTTCTTTCCCCTGCAATGAAGACACCGCAGCCCATACAGATCTACCGTCACATTATTCCCAGACCGCTTTCCTCCTTTTCTACCTGGACCACCACCCTGGGGGCCACCAGCAGAGAATCTTCCGCCACCTCTTCCTCCTCCTCCCACCACCTCTTCCTCCTCCCACCACCTCCTCTTCCTCCCCCACCACGTCTTCCTCCTCCCCCATCACCTCTTCCTCCTCCCCCATCACCTCTTCCTCCTCCCCATCACCTCTTCCTCCTCCACATCACCTCTTCCTCCTCCCCCCACCACCTCTTCCTCCTCCCCCCACCTCCTCTTTCTCCTCCCCTACCACCTCTCCCTCCTTCCCCACCACCTCTCCCTCCTCCCCATCACATCTTCCTCCTCCCCATCAAATCTTCCTCCTCCCCCACCACCTCTTCCTCCTACACCACCACTTCTTCCTCCTCCACCACAACCTCTTCCTCCTCTGCTATCGCCTCTTCCACCTCCCCATCACATCTTCTTCCTCCCCATCACATCTTCCTCCTCCCACATCAAATCTTCCTCCTCCCCCACCACCTCTTCCTCCTACACCATCACTTCTTCCTCCTCCACCACAACCTCTTCCTCCTCTGCTATCTCTTCTTCCACCTCCCCATCACCACTTCCTCCTCCCCCACCACCACTTCCTCCTCCCCATCACCACTTCCTCCTCCCCATCACCTCTTCCTCCTCCCCATCACCTCTTCCTCCTCCCCATCACCTCTTCCTCCTCCCAATCACCTCTTCCTCCTCCTCCCCACTGCTTCCTCCCCCCACTACCACTTCCTCCTCCCCATCACCTCTTCGACCTCCCCATCACCACTTCCTGCTCCCCATCACCTCTTCCTCCTCCCCATCACCTCTTCCTCCTCCCCATCACCTCTTCCTCCTCCCAATCACCTCTTCCTCCTCCTCCCCACTGCTTCCTCCCCCCCACTACCTCTTCATCCTCCCCCACCACCTCTTCCTCCTCCCCATTACATCTCCCTCCTCCCCCATAACCTCTTCCTCCTCCTCTCCCGTCACCTCCTCCTCCCCATCACCTCTTTCTCCTCCCCTACCACCTCTTCCTCCTCCCCATCACCTCTTCCTCCTCCGCATCACCTCTTCCTCCTCCCCATCAACTCTTCCTCCTCCCACCACCTCTTCCTCCTCCTCCCCACCACCTCTTCCTCCTCCTCCCACCCTCTTCCTCCTCCCCCATCACCTCTACCTCCTCCCCATCCCCTCTTCCTTTTCCCCATCACCCTCTTCTCCTCCCCATCACATCTTCCTCCTCCCCACCACCTCTTCCTCCTCCCCATCACATCTTCCTCCTCCCCATCACATCTTCCTCCTCCCCATCACCTCTTCCTCCTCCCCATCACCTCTGCCTCCTCCCCATCACCTCTTCCTCCTCCTCCCCACAGCTTCCTCCTCCCCCACCACCTCTTCCTCCTCCCCATCACCTCTCCCTCCTCATCATCACTCTTCCTCCTCCCCATCACCTCTTCCTCCTCCTCCCCACCTCTTCCTCCTCCCCCATCACCTCTTCCTCCTTCCCATCACCTCTTCCTCCTCCCCACCACCTCTTCCTCCTCCCCATCACATCTTCCTCCTCCTCCACCACCTCTTCCTCCTCCTCCCCACGTCTTCCTCCTCCCCATCACCTCTTCCTCCTCCCCACCACCTCTTCCTCCTCCTCCACCACCTCTTCCTCCTCCTCCCCACCTCTTCCTCCTCCCATCACCTCTTCCTCCTCCCCCACCACCTCTTCTTCCTCCCCCACCACCTCTTCCTCCTCTCGATCACCTCTTCCTCCTCCCTCATCACCTCTTCCTCCTCCCAATCACCTCTTCCTCCTCCTCCCCACTGATTCCTCCTCCCCCACCACCTCTTTCTCCTCCCCATCACCTCTCCCTCCTCCTCATCACTCTTCCTCCTCTCCACCACCTCGTCCTCCTCCCCCACCACCTCTTCCTCCTCCCCATCACCTCTTCCTCCTCCCCATCACCTCTTCCTCCTCCCCATCACCTCTTCCTCCTCCCCCACCACCTCTTTCTCCTCCCCATCACCTCTTCCTCCTCCCCCACCACCTCTTCCTCCTCCCCATCACCTCTTCCTCCTCCCCCACCACCTCTTCCTCCTCCCCACCACCTCTTCCTCCTCCCCATCACCTCTTCCTCCTCCCCCACCAGCTCTTCCTCCTCCCCATCACATCTTCCTCCTCCTCCACCACCTCTTCCTCCTCCTCCCTACCTCTTCCTCCTCCCCATCACCTCTTCCTCCTCCCCATCACCTCTTCCTCCTCCCCCACCACCTCTTCCTCCTCCCCACCACCTCTTCCTCCTCTCCATCACCTCTTCCTCCTCCCCCGCCACCTCTTTCTCCTCCCTCATCACCTCTTCCTCTTCCCAATCACCTCTTCCTCCTCCTTCCCACTGCTTCCTCCTCCCCCACCACCTCTTTTTCCTCCCCATCACCTCTCCCTCCTCCTCATCACTCTTCCTCCTCTCCACCACCTCTTTCTCCTCCCCATCACCTCTTCCTCCTCCCCATCACCTCTTCCTCCTCCCCATCACCTCTTCCTCCTCCCCCACCACCTCTTCCTCCTCCCTCATCACCTCTTCCTCCTCCCAATCACCTCTTCCTCCTCCTCCCCACTGCTTCCTCCTCCCCCACCACCTCTTTCTCCTCCCTGTCACCTCTCCCTCCTCCTCATCACTCTTCCTCCTCTCCACCACCTCTTTCTCCTCCCCATCACCACTTCCGCCTCCCCATCACCTCTTCCTCCTCCCCATCACCTCTTCCTCCTCCCCCACCACCTCTTCCTCCTCCCCATCACCTCTTCCTCCTCCCCATCACATCTTCCTCCTCCTCCACCACCTCTTCCTCCTCCTCCCCACCTCTTCCTCCTCCCCATCACCTCTTCCTCCTCCCCATCACCTCTTCCTCCTCCCTCACCACCTCTTCCTCCTCTCCATCACCTCTTCCTCCTCCCCCGCCACCTCTTCCTCCTCCCTCATCACCTCTTCCTCCTCCCAATCACCTCTTCCTCCTCCTCCCCACTGCTTCCTCCTCCCCCACCACCTCTTTCTCCTCCCCATCACCTCTCCCTCCTCCTTATCACTCTTCCTCCTCTCCACCACCTCTTCCTCCTCCCCATCACCTCTTCCTCCTCCCCATCACCTCTTCCTCCTCCCCCACCACCTCTTCCTCCTCCCATCACCTCTTCCTCCTCCCCCACTACCTCTTCCTCCTCCCCATTATCTCTTCCTCCTCTCCATCACCTCTTCCTCCTCCCCCACCACCTCTTCCTCCTCCCAATCACCTCTTCCTCCTCCCAATCACCTCTTCCTCCTCCTCCCCACTGCTTCCTCCTCCCCCACCACCTCTTTCTCCTCCCCATCACCTCTCCCTCCTCATCACTCTTCCTCCTCTCCACCACCTCTTTCTCCTCCCCATCACCTCTTCCTCCTCCCCATCACCTCTTCCTCCTCCCCATCACCTCTTCCTCCTCCCATCACCTCTTCCTCCTCCCCATCACCTCTTCCTCCTCCCCCACCACCTCTTCCTCCTCCCCATTACCTCTTCCTCCTCCCCATCACCTCTTTCTCCTCCCCATCACATCTTCCTCCTCCTCCACCACCTCTTCCTCCTCCTCCCCAGACACCTCTTTCTCCTCCTTCATTTTCTCCATCTCCTAATTCTCCTCCACCTGGACCTTGGCCTTCTCCAAAGCCTCCTCGACCCCACCACCCCTGTCATGGTCATGAACACCCCCTCAGCTGCTGAAGCCAGGGACTGGAACCAGGCTTCATGGTCAGCCCTGACTTGTGCCGTTCCAGAATCCATAACTCCACAAATCTGGGGCTTTTGCACGTGGGAAAGCATTAAAGACAGTAGTAAAAACAAGAGTACTGAGGAGAGACATATGCCAGCATAAGCAGTACAGTGTGTCTTTTAAAGAATACTGTAGTAGCTATTTCAGGAGTAACTAAATTCAGTAAGTGCTACTGTTAGTAACACATGTTCTTAAACTACACAAATAATAAACAGTAGTACCGTTGCATTAGCCAACAAGTCAAGCAGTGGAATAAAATGTATTCACTTATTGAATGAAAATTGAGTATGTGATATGTTTCAGGTACTGGGCGCCACAGAACTCACCTCTCCATGTGATTTCTGCCGTGTGGTTATGGCACAGAGACTGAGCGTCCTCAGGGACGCTGCAGGAACTACTGATTATAGTGACGGGGAGTTGAGGGAGGTGTAATGGGTTGAACGGTGT